AAAATCTCTTGTCGAAACTTCAAATTGTAAAGGAATTAACCCAACATCGATTTATAGATATCTACGAGTAAATAAAAAGATAATTGCAGGCAGTGTCTGGGAAGACAGCAGTATAAAAATACATAAAAACAACACCAAGTATACATTGACTTCATTTTGCGACTCCCCTATGCGTTGTGTTTTTCCAGAAACGACTCCCCCCTGCGTAACCCTTACTGTCTGAAGAGAAAATGTCTTATTTATTAATTTCTATTAAGTCTAGACAAGTTTTAAATGTTGCATTTGAAAGATAAACGTTTGCTTTTGCTGTTTTAACCGTCGGAATCTCTACACAAGTCGTAGATTGTGCAAATCATGCATGTTTTAACCACCCGATCAACGTAAATAGGAAATCTGTCGAATAGTTTCGAAGTGTTTGAGAAAACTAGACGTATATGCTAGCCGGACTAATGACCAAGACAAAGCTCAACTATTGCTACCTTCCGTGGGCTATTTATTTTTTGTAAATACATCTTACATATACCGAAAAAAGACGTGACCCACATCTTTTCTGACTCCGAAGCGGTGAAAATCTACTCCCCCATACGTTGAAAACGACTCCCCCATACTTTTTAGCGACTCCCCCGCGTTACCCGTTGTATACGGTGTATTTTATTAAGTTAACAGATCTGTGACTTGTTTTAAGGTGACATGACAGAGATAAACGCGATGGCTGATCCCAGTCTCCCAGTTATGAACGTACCCGGCTATTATGGCTTACTTCAGATGAACAGAGCCCTACTTTTGAGTAACAACGAAATTCAGAGCCGACCAAATATGTATTCTTTTGAAAATGCCAATTTTATTCCGTTTATGGACATTCCAAACAGAAACCTGAACACAATTCCGGATACCAATGGTACTGTAGCAAACCATGAACATCAGGCACTGCTTTCTTCAAATGTTAACCTATCACCTCGGGCAAAAAGAACCTTTGTCCCAAATGAGCACAAAGATGTATTCTACTGGATGAAAAGATTGAAAAACAACGTGTCTGCGCGCAGGTCCCGCGTAAAAAGAAAAGTTCTTGAACAGTATATGGGAAGAAAACTTGCTGAACTTCAGACAGAAAACGACGATCTTAAACGACAAATTGAATTCCTAGGAAAAGCTTGCAAATGTAGTAAGAAGGAATCAATATGTTTTGATGGTAATGGTAAGAGTTTATCCGATATAGAGTGCAAGTCTTCTTCTAGTTCTGGTTCGCCAGCACCAAGCTTTAAGGATACATCAGAGAGCGACTTCTGGTCTGGAGACAAAGATTTCTGTACCGAGACATCCAGTAGTTCAGAGGAAACAGACAGGGAAATACACCAATCCACGAGAATCTGCATGAATTCTCCGGAAATTCAGAGAGTTCCTCATAAAGTTCGACTGAAATTACACCTGCATTCAGCATTTTCCAAAAATTAAAATTTTGTGCTTTAATTGTCATATTTCTAGATATTTTTGTAAAATTGTTTTATGGGTGTTTCAAAATTAATAATAAAAATTGTAAAACTTAACGGCCTAAGGATTGTTTATGATGCATGGCGTGTCTCCTCTCAGAGAATAGGTCTTTAAAAAAATTAGGTCAAGGTAAAATATTTCTTGGCGGCATACTACCAACGATTTTATAATCAGATGATGCAATCACATTGGAACAACAGCTGCATAATAAAAATGGAAAAGTTAGTGTTACCTTTCCTAAACTTGAAATTAAGTTTAAACAATTTTTGTCATCAAAATTGTAAATTAGGTGGCCGATCTCTAATTTTTACTGCATATTTTTTTAGAAGATTATGTATATTATAATAAGTTCCCTAATGACTTAACAAATTTGCTCATTGCTTATGTCAGCTGGACAAGGTCAATTATACAGGAGGTCCACAAGCCTTATAGGTCACCTGAGTATCATGTAACAACTCTCCAGCAGTTGAACTTTCGTGTTTTACACCAAAAGCCACAATTTTGAAAGAGGCACCATTTTTTATCATAATTAAACACTTAATACCCAGAGGTAGATCAGAGTAACAAAGAGAAAATGCAATTCCACTTTTTTAACCACCAGTTGCGCACCCCACCCCACAGGAACCACTGATCCTGGGGCACATATTTCAAACTTTTGGAAATTTTATTTCATCAGAAATGGTTGATTACTAGTAATACCAAAGAGCAGATTTCAAAGCATTAATTTCTTTTAAGACTAAGTACCCCCCCCCCCCCAGTACCGATTACCCAGGGACCCTTAAATTAACCATTTTGGAGAGGCACCTCTCTTCATCATAAATATGTACTTAATTCAAAGGAAACGACTTTCAAAGAAATCATGCATTTTCACTATATAATCATTAGAGCCCCAGAACCCCTGACCGAGGGGCAATGAAATACACGAATTGGGAAGAAGCTAGCATCCGTTCTCATCAGAACTATGTACATAGTTCATTAGAGAGGCACCTTTCTTTATCAGAAATATGTACTTAGATCATTTGCATATTACCGAGGAGCAGAGGAGAAGATTTTTTAAAAAGTTAATGCATTTTCACTATATAATCAATAGAGTCCCACCCTACCACCAGAACCCCTGACCCTGAGGCCATGAAATTCACAATTTTGGAAGAGGCAATCTTATTCAACATTAACATGTACATGTATACGGTAAATTTAATTTATACCCAGGAGAGCAGAAGATTTTCAAATAATTTATGCAGTTTTACTATATAATCAATAGAGGCCCGCCCTAATACCAGCACCCCTGACCCAGGGGCCATGAAATTCTTGCTCATCATAAGTTTGTACTCGGTAAATTTATTTGATACCCAGGAGCAGAGAAGATTTTCAAAGAAATAACGCAATTTCACTATAATCAATAGAGCCCCGCCCTATTACCAGAACTCCTGAATCTGGGTTCATGAAATTCAGAATTTCGGAAGAGACATTTTAGCTCATCATAACTTCGTACTTGGTTAGTTTATTGATATCCAGGAGCAGAGAAGATATCCAGAAGCAGAGAAGATTTTCAAAGAAATAAGTCATTTTCACTATATAATCTATTTATCCCCGCCCTTACACCAGAGCCCCCTGACCCTGAGACCATGAAATTCACAATTTTGGAAGAGACAGTCTTATTCAACATAATTATGATATTGTACTTGGTTAGTTTATTTAATGCCCAGGGGCAGAGAAGAAGATTTTGAAAGTAATAATACATTTGCACTATATAATCTATTTAGCCCCGACCTAGCACTAGAACCCCTGGCCCTGGCGTCATGAATTTCACAACTTTGGTAGATGACTCAATGCTCATTACATTCATGCCTACAGTTTGACTGCTTGATGTCCAGTGAACTTGATGGTAATGTCATGGCCTTCAGTCAATATTACAAGTATCTTACATGTGCGCGACTCTAAAGTTCAAATGAATTCTTCTTTCGAGTTTAAAACTTTTAAAATTAGAAATACCATATCATAGAAATCATGATTTTTTAGAAGAGATCTGACAATTCGCATTTTTCCAACGGACAATAACGCAAAACGGGATACTTTTCCTTTCGCTACTGTGACTGAGTGAAAGTTTTTTTTATACCCCCCGCTTGAAAAATGGAAGGGTATAATGTAATCGGTATGTCCGTCCTTCTGTACGTCCGTCTGTCTGTACGTCCGTCCGTCCGTCTGTCTGTTACGCTTTAGGGTACCCATCTCTTATCCGCAACTCCTCTTATACCACAGAGCGAAATTTAATGAAACTTTCACAGAATCTTTATTACATATTGCCATTGTGACCTCGTATTTTACGTTTTGATCCGACCATATTTTGAGTTTCCCGGCCACAGCAAAACATGGACTTTGCCATTATAACCATATGGGAGGCGGGGGTATCATTTAGTGAGCTCATTGCTCACAGTACCTCTAGTTTTAAATTATATTCCATTGAATTCAACTTACAATAACTCTTATTCAATTTAAGCATTAAAACTCAAGTTTCCTACACGAGAAGAGGAAAAAATTGCTTTGGCCTTTAATTTGAGATTCAGGTAAATGGACGGTGTTTTGTCAACTAACAATAGTCTTTTCTAACCATATATCCCAGTCAATACATTAAGAACAGATTTTCCTACATCTGAGAGACGACAAACAGATGACCAGCTTTATCATCATCAACTTTCCTTATTTTAATTTTCTACTATCACCTGCTTATGGTGTTAATGACTTTTTCATCAAAGAGTTTGCCGAGTATTTTTCCATTTTTATAACGAGGCATGATCACTAAGTTGATGTCACAGGGACTTCAACAACCTCGTTTAAAGCTTCCAAACTTCTATAGTCGTTATGATAATCTTGTAAGAAAATATAACCTATCATTGGGTCGTATTTTGGCTGACTTGTTTCATACCAGCTGTTCGTTGTTTGTTTTCATTCTAAATTTGACTACGGTTGATCGGTCATCAGGGGATGCTCACTCCTCCTAGGCACCTGATCCCACCTCTAGTATTTCTAGTGGTCCATGTTTTATGTCATCTTTACATATTTGTATTGTTTGTAGATTTTTTTAGTTTGATCACTGTTCGTTATCTTAATATTTTTTACATTAAAATGATTAATATCAGTTTCAAATCAAATTGGCGTATACCAATGATGAGGCTTTCATGAATTTATCAGATTGTGTACCGTACACGTTTTGTTTTACAGTGAATCTAAAATTTTAGAGCAGCTGTTTTCTATCCAACTACTATGCTGATTATCTATCATTTTACAGATTACAATGAACAATGAACTCTGATTTGAGAATATGATTGACAAGTAATGCAGAAAATGGAGAAATGGTTTTATTTTTCTAAAATAATCGAATACTAGTGCTTGTATATATTAAGCATTCGATATTCGGACCTTTTAACCAGAACTCGAGCAACTGGTTACTCCATGACACTCCAAAATTTTTATTTTTACGAGATGAAGATCAAAGTCCTCATGAAAAAATGTTTAACCGTGTATCATTTCCTTCTAGAGAAAATTGATATTTTAATTATACTTGATTGTTCAAATTGAGAGAATCTCAATGAATATTTTGAGTTTCCAGAAGACAAGATCGCTCTTCCATGAACTCGCTGACCTTCTCAATGACGTATGTGCGAAATCGTTATGCGTATTAGATCCAGTGTATATTAAAATCAGCTTTATATCAACAGCTCTACAAAGCGCCACTCGAGGATAATCGCAAATTCGGTCATTATCCTTTAACAAATGTGATCACAGGTGAGTACAACTGTTGATTGTAGAGCATCGAGAGGCTCTGGGTATTGGCTCAGAAGTAACTGAAGACGAGCTTACTGATGAACAGGCAGACCTCACTGATGATACGTGTGCGGACTCGGTTTGCGTATTAGTCCTAGATCCAGTGTGCAAATCGTCTTTATATCCACAACATCTGAAAAGTGCTTTTCGAAACTGGGGTGTGCTGATAAAGTAGATATATGGATTGATAGAATAATTTACCAAAAGAAGTGTTCGCCCGATGTGTCCAAGAACGATAAACCACGTGTCAGTCATGTGACAAACAGACATTTCTATGATATCCCGGATGTTGATGGGCGTGGTTGTTATCACATATACGCCTATCACTATTGATATGATTTGGGAGACTTTCTTAGTCGTTTTATTCCTGTTTGTCCCCAATGATTTCTTCAAAGCTATGATTTTCATAATATGTAAAAGACAGAGTAAACAAATAGGTCCCACAGTCACAACTATAGTGTACACTAGGTTTAATAACGCTGCTGCCTCTACCTTCTTTGTCAAATAGGTTAAATGGACGTAGGGAGCCGACATGATTGCAGCAAATATCCAAATTATTGCTGAGACAATCAGAACTCGTTTGTTTCTCATCCACACCAAACTTTTTAACGGAAAGGCGATCATAAGGTATTGTTGAACAGAGAGAAGTATCACGTGGCCGATGGAGGAAAAGAAAGAGGATAAAAATAAATAAATTATTGCCAGCGAAACTTTGAATGGCAAGTCTGAAAAGGTGAATATCAAAAATCTACACGTTAGAAATAAAGCATCGGGAACGGTCAACATTCTTATACCGGTGTATATCGGTTTGTGGAGCCTTTTTTCAGCACATATCACAATAAACACTATAAAGTTGGATAACATTCCAAAAATGGATAAAACCTGCAGAAAAACGGTCATTGGTTTGCATTTATCCAGCTCCCAGCAGGATGATTTCCCATACGTAGAATTTGTGGTTAGACAGGTGTACCAGGTAGAACCAGTTTTGGTCTCACCTGTACTGTTCGGAAGAATATCCATTTCAAATTGAACCGATTTCAATAGTCCTGTGTTATGAGTTGTTATTGTCAGGTATCTTTTTATCATTATCAATCAATCGCAGAATCGTGTTCTATAAGATTGATCTTGCCACTCTAGGGTGTATTTAGCATAAAAATGATTCAACTTTAGTGTCGTCACGTTTCATGTTGCTGCTGGCTTTTCTAGTATCTGTTACAGTTAATGTATTAGACTGTGGTTAATTCTGAAAACAAATAAGGAAACAGCTTTTTACTGTGTTTGTTTTTTATTTAAGGACATAGGCAACGTACATGTACACAAACTCTTTAATGTATGTTTCCCACTAGTAATTTTTAAAGATATTCTCAATTTTAAATTATAGTACCATAGGATATTCTACACAAAAAGTCAGCATACATTGCAAGAGTTTTGACCAGATATAAAATGATGAAAATGCTAGAAATTGGTGTAGAGGAGGTATTATTTTTACCACTCATCATAAAATCGCTGTAAAGTCCTTCAATAGTCAGAACTTTTTAATTAAACAGAAAAAAGACATTTAAATTTAAAGCTACGCTGCGTTTGTGCTTAGCACAACTTTTATGCATTTCGTCCTGCTTTTGATCTGAGTGTCCTTTTGAAAATAAGACGGGGTCATTGAAAACTCTGTTCAAATAAAGACAAACTATAAATTTCTAAATTATACGTACATTATTGAGAAAAGGATAAAACTCTTTAAAATATCAATCAGATATTAAATGTCGATTTTCAATAGAATAATTATGCTAGCAACTTGAATTTTTTCATTTCTTGGGACTGGGCAAGAACGAGGGTTCAAAGTTTATTTTAAAATATTCTGTTATTTCGAAGCAAATTTTTTTTATAGAATTTTTTATTTTCCTCATCCTAAGGTAGAGTAAGTTTGTTTGCTTACATCGCTTTCTTGAGGACACATCAACACGTTTCGTTGATAGTTGCTAACTATGGAAGAAAATGAAGCAGAAAAAAAATTTCAATTAATAATTATTTGTAATCTATCGACCTACGCAAAATTATAAAGTGGTTTTTAGAAAGAACCTATAATATTCATTACCTGTGTAAGCAGAGATAGAACTTAAAGTATATAATACTAATACGATAATTCTTACAGTAGCACAACAGGAAAAAGTTCAGAAGTATTAGTACTTAAATTTAGTGATTTTTGGTTTAGAGAGTACTAATAACTTTTTTTAAGCAAGTCGGAGAGTGTTGCAAGTAATTCACTCAGAAAATGTTGCCCTTTTATGTCGATGTTTTCTTAGTTATATAGAGACCCTTCTTTAAAGTCAAATCAGTAAGCCAGAGATTAGCCAGAGTTCATTTTGTAAATCCCCCGGGGAAGAATGGTATGAACCGTCTTGATCCCTTCTATCCAATTGAAAAAAGTATATAGCTCTTGATAAAAATGGCATAACCTTTGGTCCATTATGTATGAAACAATTTTAGATTTTAATTTTCTGCACCTAAACTTAAAGAAATATGACTTTCATTTAACCTTTTAACAATCATCCTTATCTCTTTTCCAATAAATGAAACCCCGAAGATAGGCACCCGCTTTGGAAATATATTTCTAAGAGGTTTTAGTAAAGCCTTAAAATCTTTTTATGTCAACCTAATTTCTGTTTTCCGTTCATCTATGTGGAATCTAAAATAACTGTTTTCTGATAACAGAAGTTAACAGAGTTTACAGCAAAATCTGCTAATATCCAATGACAACATCGGGGGAAACTGGGAAAGCAGAAAAAAATAAGAGCAAAATTTAATACGGGGTGCTTCGTTTTGGCATTTTTAGCAAAATTTTTACTTTCGGTGATATTAATCAAAGAAATAGTTCTTGATGACAATAGAGGTGACCGATTTTTTTCTTTTTGTTTGAATGCGGATTATAATACTCAAACATCTCTCTCGAGCAATGCATACAATTTTTCAATTTTTTTCCCAAATGCCCCCAAACCACTCTCGTTCATTTCTATTGTTTTATTTTTTAATCTGACGGTATAAGTGGTTCACAAAAGCTCCATTCTAGTCTTTGCGTTGCTCTGTAAATATTTGCAAATTTGGAGTTTACTCCCTGTGGCCATCAGCTAATGTTTTTAATTTCAAAAAATCATTGGATAATACTAAAATCAAAGAGATATCATTCATATTTCCCCCACTTTTGTTTGACCTCTATTGTCAAATTATACAGTGCTACGGTACTTACTAATGGCTCTTTTTTTTTTTATTTGTTAGCATCCCCTGTCGACCGGTCACAACCGCCATGGACCCTTTTAATGATCGGGAAATAAATGAAAAAATCCGTGGACAACTCCGCGTGCAAGTTATGGGATAACAATCAGTATGAAATCGTCAACATTTGACTAATTGATGAATTGTATTTGCTGACAAGGTTATTGTTTCGACCAGAGAACTTACGAAATACTGACTTTAAACGAGACTGCTGATATTCTTGATTCATCAACTTGTTTGTCAATAACTTACTTCGTTCTACAAATTGTTCATACGTAGAACGTTCTCTGTTAAAAGATATTAACTCGTTATGCAAATCTGGGGGCCACAAAACTTAGACAAGCTAAATAATAATCTCCGTCTCACGTTTACTAATATATATAGTGGAAAAATACAGACCGAGATCAAAAGTGAGCTAAGCCAGGCGACAAATATACAGTATATTGCTGAATAAGTAAGGGCAGTTGACGATTGAAAAGTTAATCATCACATTTATCATAAAGCCTTCTCGTGAGATATTAATCAACTTCTTTTTCTAGTAAAAAAAAATCCAAATATGAAACAAACGTTCACACTCTGTGGTATCTGTCGCCCGCGTGGCGCAATGGTTAGAGAGTCTGCTCTAGAGTCACGAAGTAAGGAGTCAATCCTTACGTCGCGGGTTCGAATCCCACTGCAGGACATGGAGACCGGTCCTTCGGATGAGACCGTATAAACCGAGGTCCCGTGTCGCAGTAGGTGCTGGCACGTAAAAGATCCCTCCCTGCTCAATGGCCCTGAGTGCCGAGTATAGGACAAATTTGCAGCTCTCCACCGGCAAATGGTGGCGCCTCCATATAAGTGAAAAATTCTCGAGAGGGACGTTAAACAATATACAATCAATCAATCAATCAAGCAATCAATCAATCAAGCAATCTGTGGTATCTTTTATCTCGAGCTCACTGGGATATATCATGTGGACATAAGAATAGAAGTAACTATTGTTAATTGACAACACGTTGTAGATATATCTAAATGTTGAGTTGAAGATTTTGCACAAATTCTGCTTCATGTGAATTCAAAAATAAGTCTGCTAATGACGTGACGAAATTGGTACCCATGGGAATTCCAATGGATTTTTGGGAGACCTGGACTCCAAAAACTACATAGATATTGTCAATCAGAAACTCGAGCATCTTTTTAATATCAACCTCAGAGTACTTATGTTAAGTTTTTTTTTGGGTCTAACTCTAACTTCAAGGCTAAAAGGTCAAAAATATTTACTCCCTTTGAAAGATCTTGTCACAATGAATACTCATATGAAGTATGTCAGCCTTAGCAACAACTGTTCAAAAGTAATAGACAATGTTAAATTTTGAAATTTTGGGATAAAATGGTTCAAACTCCAAGGTCTTGAGGTTTTGGGTTTCCCATAGCAGAACATCGACACTGCCATTCCTACTTTTACATTAAAGGCTGCACATCTCTTATCCGCAACTTACCACTGAATAAGATTACTTTACTTTACATTACATATAACATAATGTCATTGTGAACCTCCTAATTTACTTTTTGATCGGATACTTTTTTCGGGGGTCCAAGAGCAAAACATGGACCCTACCATTATAATCTTATGGGAGGCAAGGGTATTATTTAATAAGTTCAGTGCTCACGGTATGTCTAGTTTTTATTGTATTGTGATAAATGGAAACACGTTTAATATTGAAAAAGTAAAAATAATGAGATTTTCAAAGGGACGTACAGCACAGAATGTTTTTATTACAATAACATAGAAATTGATATTGTCTAACATTTTGAATATCTTTGAGTTATATTCTCATCAACGGGTTGATTTATTAAAGCAAAACAATATGCTACTGAAAGAGCGACTTACACTTTGTATGGTTTTTCTAAAAAAGGAAACAAAATTACATATTTCTTTGTTTGATAAGATTGCTGTTCCAATTTTGTTATTATGGTTGTGCAGTATGGGCTTATTGAAATTTTGAAATTATAGAAGGTGTCACAATCAATATTGAATTATAATTGTATTTACGTAACGGTTATGGTTTTTATTTTATTTACCCTTTACTGGACCTCTATATTTTTGTTACCTTATTGAACCTCAGTTAAGTTTTGCAGGTATTGGTCATTTACGACCTATTGTATTAGAGGGTATTTAAATCGCTGCATATCTGACCAAGTAGCCGGGGTCCACGTTTTCATAGATTTTTTAAATGCCATGCTTGAGGTATCGCAATCCAAGATGTATAGCTAAGTAAGTTATCAACGGTAACCATTTCTCCGTAAGGGGTAAGTTTGTTTTTTATTTTATATATAAGTTTTAAGTACTACATTTAAGACGTAAAGCTATGTACGAATTTGAGTTAAGTAATGTTTTTGTCACTGTTTACGTATACAGGTTTTGCTGGGTAGAGTTACATGCGTGTATAGTTTTATTTTTGTGCAATGTTCTAAGTTATGTACGCACGTAGGCTATTTTGTTTTGCCGCTTATAAAATCGGTGTTGTGGGTTTAATAGTTAAAACCACTTTTGTTGAGATGTTGTGTATTCTTAACGTTTTTCTTATTATAATGGTGTTCGGTTAGAATTACCGGTACTGTTTTGTATGGTGTGCCATAAGTGCAACTGTAGTCAATGTTGACGTGTTATTTTTAGTATACGTAACTTGCGACTTAAAATATTATTTAATTTAAAGGTTCCAGAGATATTCCAGAGATATTCCAGACATATTCCAGCCATATTCTATCTATAAGGGCCATTTTGTGTGGACACGTGGAACTAGCGTTACCTGGACCGGAAACCCACTGGGAGCCAGTTCGCGGGAGTCCGTCGTGAAACGGGGAGTGTCAGGACGCGGTCGCGTGGTACACAGGAATTGATATGGATATATAAAGACTTTAAGTGATATTTATTGTAGATATTTTTGTAAAAAACATGTTGTAAATATTGTTTTTATTGATT